TTGCCACAGCATGCCAGGTATTCTTCCAGGTCTTGAGGCAGTATCAGTGAACTAGTCAAGGAAATTAATTAGAAGGGTATATTCTAATTTAGGGAAAAGAGATAAGTAAACAAATACACTAAAATACGATTTTAGGTAATAATTAGATGTTAGAAACAGGAGAATGCCACATTGGGAGGCCAAGGCGGGTGGACCGCCAGAGGTCAGGAGTTCAAGACCAGCCTGACCAACATAGTGAAACTCTGTATCTACTACAAATACAAAATATTAGCCAGGCACGGTGGTGGGGGCCTGTAATCCCAGCTACTCGGGAGGCTGAGGTAGGAGAATCGCTTGAACCCAGAAGGCAGAAGTTGCAGTGAGCTGAGATAGCGCCATTGCACCCCAGCCTGGGCAACAAGATCAAAACTCTGTCTCAAATAAATAAATAAATGGGAAAATGCAAATCAGAGGGACTTGAGGAGGGAGTACTTTAAATGAGGTCATGAAGGAAGGCTGAAACTTGGATGATGAGGAGGAGCCTGTCATAGGAAAATTCAAAGATATTTATTTTAATTTTTAGGAAGAGCAAATATAAGGTCTTTGAGACTGGAATGAGCTTGCCATATATAAAAAATAGGAATATTTGTGAGGCTGAATGAGGGGTAGAGTGATTAAAAAGTAAAGTCAAAAAGGTAGGCAGAAGCTGTCCTGTAGTACAGTGCAGATATAGAGACAGAGTCAATCTTTATCTTAAGAATAATGGACAACCATTGTGTGATTTTAATCAAGGGAGAAATCAAATCTGATTTATATTTTTAAACCTAAGATATTAGGCTCTTATCAGATGGTTCTGATATTCCTTTCTTAAGTTTACTTTCTTAAAAAAAGTTCTTCATAGTAGATCCAAATTCTCCAGAGAAAAGATGTATTTATCCCATCTGGGTCAAGTGTCCATTGCTTAACTCAATGGCTGTGGCCAGTGAATGGATCATTTTACAGTAACATGGTAGCTCCTATGCAACTATACATTTGGAAGAAAGATGAGTTTTCAGAAAATGTGAACTAGATAGACAAACCTGAAAATGCTCACTCAAAATTCAATGCAAAAACTGGTTTTCTGTGAGTATTTTTTAGTTTTTTTTTTTTTTTTTTTTTTTTTTTTTTTGCATTACCAAATAGAAGGTATGACACAAATTGAAAATCCTTCAAGGATCCATGCTTTGGAAATAGGAGAAGTGGTTTGTGGCTTGGTTTGTAGCTTGTACTTCTGTCTATATCATCTACTCCAGAAATGCTGATATTCACTTAATATTTTGAAGCAAGTCTTAGAGGAATTGACAGATATGCCATTTTCCCTCAGTATAAACTAGATGGAATTGCTGGTATCTCCAAGGGCAGTTAGTTACAGTTACTAGCTTTCTTCCTTCACAGCTTACTAGTGGGCATGGGACCAGGTCTATATTGTTTACTACTGCATCTACAGTGAGCGAATAAGTAAATCATGATGCTATCAGAAACACCCTCCTATTTTATATCCGTTCTGGAAACTTTAAGAAAATTCATATCTTCAGATTTTCAAGAAGAAAAATGCACTATATTTGATTGGAAGAAAAATTGGGACAAAAAATTGGGACATGATGTCGAGCATTTGAAGTGTTTGGCAGCACATCTGGGTTTTTTGTTGGCTGAAGGTAGAAGCTTCGCATATCATCATGGCTTACTGCAGTTAATTATCTTTCCTATTTCCTGCTGTATCCCTCATGCCTAATAAAGGTCCTGATATATAGTTGGTGCTTCATAAATATTTGCTAGATTAAGTATTATAAATACATCAGAATGTATTGAGATCAAAGACTTTTGCCAATTATCTTGAAATAAGTCTTGTCTACTGCTGTGAAATCATCACCTTCATGAAAAACAGAGTTTCTTCAAGAAGTTTGTAAGAAAGGGAAAGAGAATATAACTTTCTTTTCTACTGTGTAGAAAAATCTTTTAGAAGATAAGTTGACTTTTGGAAGACAAGTTTCAAAGGCCTGGATTGAACCTGAGGAATAATTTTCACTTTTATTGAGGATTAAAGAAAGCCCATTCTGAGCAGTTTGACAAGGAGGGGCTCACTACCAATCTGAATTAGTGAATAATTTTAGCCATGCTAATCAGGTAGATTTCTGTTTAAATGTTCTGCAGTAACCAACACAGTTTTACTGAAGGCCTGTAATCTCTTGGCCAAGCTGCTCCACTAAAAGAAGAAAACATGTGTTCTGAGAGCTATCTCATTGCAAAATAAATGCTTCTGTAAAGTGCATGTGCTGAAGCAACAACATAAACAGTGGCAAAATGTTCTGTACATGAGTCTTACACATTTCAGGGGAGGCCGCCCACAGCTTTCAAAGGATTCTCAATAAGCCTTTGACTTCAGAATGTTAAGAACCACTGTTACCTCAACATTTAATTCACAGATGAAACCACACCGAGGTTAGAAAGCACTCTGTGATAGCTTGGGTTGATCGTGGTCATTTTTCCGTCATATGAGAGGATTTAATGAGCATAAAAGGTGGAGAAAAGTAGACGGAGCAGTCAGGTCCCTTTCTCGAACAGCTGATTCAGACTATGCCCCAACCATCTGTCTTAAACTCCCATACTCCAGGTCACTCTGTACCAGCCCTAATCATCCTGGGGCCAGGTACCAGACAACCTGGACGGGTTCCAGGAACAGACCTATTCCCTGAAGCCTGAAAAGTTATTCTACAGCCAATCTACAGAAAGTCTGTCAAACCTAGCTAACCCCGTCGCACTTGCCGTCCATGAGTTGGCCGCTACAGCTCCAGTTTGCTGTTATCTTGTCCCCAGCACAACTCCCTATGCTCTCTTTGGGAGCAGTAAGTAATAGAGTTCTGCCTTTCACCTATCCAAATGTCACTGCATGTGTCCCACCATCAAAAGAATCTTTAAATCTTATAGCACATCTTCGTGGTAATTCCATGAAATAAACTGAATGGTTGCAGATGAGGAAACTGAGGTTAGTAAAGTGGCTGAAATTTAACAATCTGTTAATTGATAGAGCTGGTATGACAACCCACATCTATTATATATGCACTGAGTACAAGTTTTAAGTTTATAAACGTAATTAAATAGTATACATAATCCAATGATTGTCCTCAGTCTTTAAACACAAATGAGACACAGAGAAACATTACATAATATTTGGTTAAGATAAGTGACTGGGCCAGTCACGGTGGCTCATGCCTGTAATCCCAGCACTTTGGGAGGCTGAGGTGGGTGGATCAGCTGAGGTCAGAAATTCGAGACCACCCTGGCCAACATGGCAAAACCCCATCTCTACTAAAAATACAAAAATGTGCTGGGCGTGGTGGCAGGTGCCTGTAATCCCAGCTACTCAGGAGGCTGAGGTGGGACAATTGCTTGAACTTGGGAGGCGGAGGTTTTAGTGAGCTGAGATCGCACCACTGCATTCTAGCGTGGGTGACAGAGTGATACTCTGTCTGTCACCCAGAGAGACACAAAAAACCCTTCAAAAAATCAATGAATCCAGGAGCTGGTTTTTTGAAAAGATCAACAAAGTTGATAGACTGCTAGCAAGACTAATAAAGAAAAAAAGAGAGAAGAATCAAATAGACAAAATAAAAAATGATAAAGGAGATATTACCACTGACCCCACAGAAATACAAACTACCATCAGAGAATACTATAAACACCTCTACACAAATAAACTAGAAAACCTAGAAGAAATGGATAAGTTCCTGGACACATACACTCTCCCAAGACTAAACCAGGAAGATGTGGAATCTCTGAATAGACCAATAACAGATTCTGAAATTGAGGCAATAATAGCCTACCAACCAAAAGAAGTCCAGGACCAGATGGATTCACAGCCTAATTCTACCAGAGGTAGAACAGGTGGGAATTGAACAATGAGAACACTTGGACACAGGAAGGGTAATATCACACACCAGGGCCTGTTGTGGAGTAGGGGGACGGGGAGGGACAGCATTAGGAGATATACCTAATGTAAATGACGAGTTAATGGGTGCAGCACACCAATATTATGGACCAGGGCTTTCTTTTTTAACCAGAAATATCAGCATATCACTGCTGCCATGTACATATTGGCAGAAAAGAAATTAATACCTAAGAATTAAAAATTGGTTAAACAAAATAATATAATAAAAATAATAAAGTACATTTATATAACAAAAATATTTTAACCTTAATATCATACTATAGGGAAATATCAATATGGGGTAATATATGATATATATACACACACACACATATATGTAGCATATATATAGAGAGAGCTAATTTTAACCTGCAGTTTGCAAAGTAGAAGTTCAATGTGTGAAATAATAAAGACACAAGGAAAAAAAGACTGGGAGGATATATATGTAAATCTTAAAACTGGTTATATTTGGCTGATGGAATTATGGGTGAGTTTTGTTGTCTCTCTAGATTTTCTAGACTTTCCGCATTTGACACAAATTGCTTTTGCAAAAATTCTGAATTTTTGAGCTCTCTCTGAAAGTAGGGTCTTGATGTGAACTTGATTGCTTTTGTCCTGTCAGTGATCATGGATTGCTTTGGAGCTGTCAAACACATTTAGAGATGACAGGTGAAGAGAAATGTGTTGTCATGTAGCCGTAGAACTCATAATAGACTGGAAACCAGAAGGCCTGGGTCCCAGTCTCAACATTGTTCATTATTATTTGGGTAACATTAGGCAAGACTTGAACTTCCCTCTAAAGCCAGGAGGGTCATACTTGCCTTTATTATCCCTGCAGGGTCATTATGAGGACAAAGTAACCTAATGAATGAGAAACATTGTAAATACAAAAAAAAAAAAAAAAAAAAAAAGGCATTGTTATGAGGCATTTTAGCATTCCTTATGTGATTACGGACTAATTCATCTCTTAGGTATCTGCTTTCCAATTTCCAGCCTTACCTTCTCTGTCCTATCATCTTAATTGCTTAATTTCTAATCACTTATTTATTCTTTTCAGCTTTCTGTTTTTCGCGTGCATTGTGCTACTCAGCTGAAAACAGTATTATGAAAGAGAAGTACTTCAAAAGACAACACTTTACTCAACCCAGAAGACTTGCTATAAGGTGCATTAATTTATGGCTGTGATTACAATTCACATTTTAATTTGTAATTTCTCACTTAATGTCTAAGTTTCTTGCAACAGACTGTAAGCTTTCTGATAATCAGGCAGCGAGTTTCCCCACAGGCATGTGTCACCTTATGCAGTGATACATTGCAGCCATTCAATAAATACCTCTTAATTGAAGGAAAGAATGCATACTCGACAGCTCAGAAAGGATTCATAGATATATAGAAACGAATAAATGTATAATGTCCTTCATGATATTGAGCACAAAACTGTTGTTTCCTTTCAAAGAGGGAAGGGATAAGGTTTGACCTGGAACAGGAGGGATTAATGGACATAGTACATGCCTGATTAACTTGGCAAATGTTTATCTATTGCAGTTCTCAAATAGTAGCTGCCACTTCCAGCTGGGGGAGAAATGAGAGCTCTGTTTGTGGCGATCCAGTATCTCCAGAGTCCATCACCACTGCTGACCTCCCACTCTACATCCCCAAGCGCTCTGCTGTACCTGCCACGAGCAGCTGTCACCTGCAGACTTTGGAAGGTTATAACCAAACCTCTGTTTTCTGACCTGCCTTCTGCTTCAACATCTTGACTTCCCACAAACAATTCTAATAAAAAGCAATTAACCTGAAAGTGTGTCGCAATTTTAATGTATGAGATATGGTTTCTCTCAAAAGCTGCACTGCTCTTGTGTCCTTACAAGGTATTTTCTTAGCAAGAATAATCTGTTTACATGGGTGTTAATGACTAAATCCCTTTCTTGTAAAGCTATGCCCATCTGTCACACAAGAAGAATAGTACCCTTTAGAGAGCGCTAAAGAAAACTACAGAAATGTAGGGAAAATGAGCAGCTATTCAAAAAGGTAAGATGCTGCCACAGAGCCTAACTGATAAGAGCAATTAATGAAACATTAAGTGTAGAATAGGGAATATATGGCATGGGATAAATTATAGTCACAATTCACGGTTCTTTTGTCTCCAGAAGTTCACATACAAAACCCCATGCCTTTACAAAACAATAAATTCAGCACTGTCGATGATGCTTGTTTCCTTGTGAATGTTGCAGAGTCTCTTCAAGTGACTCAATTGCATGGAAAAAGTTGTATCACAAAGAACCAAGGTGAGCTGAAGCACAAAGTGGGAGAAATGGGGTGCAAGGGTGTGGAGGAATAGGATTTGGGCAATGGAGAGTGAAGAAAGGCGGTTCTATATTTAAAACAACCGTGTCTTGCTTCTCTAAACCTTCTCAAAGTTTATCAGCAAAAACTGTCTCTCTGCCTTCTCTTTCACATAGCAATTATAGCAATTTCTTAATCTCAGGAGGATGCTACCATCTTCTAAGGCAATAAAACCTGTTCTAGAATCATGTTTCTAGCTTGCAAAATGCTTTTGCTAAGCCTTCCTAACAATACCATCTAAAGAAGTTCCCTCTTTAGAGATGATATCATATCCCACATATTTGAAATATTTAAGGAGAGCAGAGATTTAAAGTACAATTTATTTCTGGTGAAGACAAAATGGGAAGTGTGTTACATACTGATTGAAAGGCAGCCACGAAAATAGGCTTATTTCAGTACTTTCTATTGTTATTAGAATCCATAAAGCTCTGAAAAAAAGATGTATGATCTTAAATCTGAGTGCGATGAAACCAGTCTGATGGTTTTCTCTAAGCAAGAAGTGAGGAGATAGGAGATGGCATAGAAACCTGTTTTGTGTGATGGCAGTGAGACAGATCATACCATTTTAATTGGTATCAAGATTGAAATGCTTGCCCAAAATTATCCCTCCAGGGTTGTTTTACTGCTGAGGTATTATAGATTTACACCCAGCTTGGTAAAACTTCTTAGAAAAGGTAATTTCTATCCTGAATACAAAGTCTAAACAGAGTTAGGAGAGAAGGAATACATGCAAACTTACAATTGTCAGTTTAAAAACCACATCTACAATGACAGAGTATAAAGTGGCCCGGGCTAATCGGATACAAATTCTGTAAATCTCTTCCGCATGAATCTCATCTCAATCAACTACTGAAATGCAAGAGTATATTAAAACACACACAGACACACACACACACACACACACACACAGAAAAGAGATCTTAAAAGAATTGCACTCCTTCAGATAGTTTGATGAGTCTCTGAAGGTAAACCAGGTCTGTTGCTATGCAGAAGATCCGCAGAATCTAGGGATGGAATGTGAAAGATTCATGACATTGTAATTCAGCATTATAGGATTTGCCAACCACATTTCATTCTTGCCCACTAAATTAGGAATGTAAGGCACGGCCAGCAAGCAACAAGACAATGCAAAAGGAGATAAAAGCCCAAGCAATGTTACTTGTTCACTAATCACCCAGAAAAGAAACCTGTCACCACACAGCTCGATACAGACAACATTGGAGTAAGATACTTTGCAAAAGAGCCCTAGAATGAGTTAGGACACAAAACATTTTTATGAAGCACTATTTCACATAGAAAATGCGAGATGTTTTCTTTAATCATGTACAGAACAGCTACAGCAGTCCAATCTGCCTGGAAGTGTTCTTTCTACACAGAGAAACAGTTAATGACCAATTCTTTATCTAATTTTACCCCCACAGTAGCCTTCCAAGGTATGAATTATTGCCCTGAACTAAAAGATGAGAACACGAAGTCTCCGATAGTTAAATGACTTACACACAGTCCTCGGTCAGTTTGGTGGAGACGTCAATCCCTGTTGAGGTCCAGGGTTCCTGTAACAGGTGCTCTAAAGCAGTGCTTCTCAAACTCTCTATGGCAAAGGACTTCTTACAATTACAATTTGTCACTTTTGTAATGATGCTTTAAAAAAAGAAGATTGTCGGGTGCGGTGGCTCACGCCTGTAATCCCAGCACTTTGGGAGGCTGAGTGGGGTGGATCACAAGGTCAGGAGATCGAGACCATCCTGGCTAACAAGGTGAAACCCTGTCTCTACTAAAAACACAAAAATTAGCTGGGCGTGGTGGTGGGCGCCTGTAGTCCCAGCTACTCGGGAGGCTGAGGCAGGAGAATACTGTGAACTTGGGAGGTGGAGCTTGAAGCGGGCCGAGATCGAGCCATTGCACTCCAGCCTGGGCGACAGAGCAAGACTCCATCTAAAATAAATAAATAAATAAATAAAAATAAAAATAAAAATAAAAAAAGATTTACTAGCAAAATAAAATTTAAAGAAACAAGAAGAGATACTGACCCAGATATTTTAAGAATACGTTTGAAACATATAAAATTACATTTTGAAATTGCTATAAAAATAAATGCTTACCTTCAATTACCACCATAGACTGGTAACAAATGATTCCTGGGCAAACATCAGTCTATATTCCACACTTTGAGTAACTTTGTGTTGATCTACTGGTTGAATGAATATGTATTTGATGGTCCCCAAACCACACACACACAAATGAAAAACTCTTCCTCGCTTCGAAATAAGCAGAATGACTAGCTGAGCCACTCTCAGTCACCCGGTCTTTCCCTGGACCATCCTTCAAAGAACATTTTCACAAAACATCAACACGTGGTCCCTACATTTTTGATGTAGAAGAATGATCTAAGCCTACCCTTGCTCTCCAGACAACTGCTCTGCCTAACTATGTGTGGATTCCGTTCTTGCACTGGGGTGAAATGAAGCTTGACAAGGAGTGGGGAACAGAGGGCAGGTGGGTTTGCATTGTTCTCGGATCTTTTTCACCTTTATTCTTACCTAGGATGGCTCAGAGCTCTGTCTAGGGCTGCACCACAGATCGTGTGTTAGAGCTGTGTTTGCACTGTAAACAATGGCTTTTACTCAGCTTATTCGTTAGAGATCAATAAAAGCATTGTTTTTTTCTGAAGCTATTTGTACTTACACTTTACATAAAATTATAAAAATTATTATCTATCAAAATTTTATATCCTCACTTTTAGTTAGGCTGGCTTGAGAGAACTATGGGAGATGGGCTGGACGCAGTGGCTCACACCTGTAATCCCAGCACTTTGGGAGGCCAAGGTGGGCGGATCACCTGAGGTTGGGAGTTTGAGACCAGTCTCATCAACATGGACAAACTCCGTCTCTCCTAAAATTACACACACACACAAAAAATTAGCCGGGTATGGTGGCACATGCCTGTGATTCCAGCTACTCAGGAGGCTGAGGTAGGAGAATCACTTGAACCTGGGAGATGGAGGTTGCAGTGAGCCAAGATCACGCCCTTGTACTACTCCAGCCTGGGCAACAAGAGTAAAACTCCATCTCAAAAAAAAAAAAAAAAAAAAAAAGGACCTAAGGGAGATGACTAGGAGTGGGGTCTCTAAGTAAAAACATATGTTCTTTCAACTTTCTTCCTTTGCTTGCTACTATCCGGTTTACTGTTCCTCAACAAAGTCACATTTTTTTGAAAGAAATACTTATACTGTGGAAGCACCATTCCTATGATTCTTATTCTTACTATGGTTTTCTGTCATACTTGAGATAAGCTGTTTTAATTACCTGGTTTTATATAGGAAAGAAGAAATATAAGGTTTAAAGTCTGTAATTATCAATGGCTCATAATTCATTAAATCTTAGCATACAAGGAAAATAAAACAAAAAAAGAAAGAAATACTTATACTGCCTATCACTTTCCATTACTCCCAAACTTACTAGATTTTCTGTTTTTTTTTTTAAATAAAAATCATATTTCTGAAATAGCTATGGCTAAAATTGCCAATTACCTTCTTACAATAAACACAGTGGATACATCTTAGACATTCTCTTATTTAACCTATCTGAAGTAGTTAACATTGTTGACCAGCATCACTTTAAAAAAAAAAAAAAAAGTATGGAATATAAAGAACTTGAATGAAAGCAAAAACCTTGACCCACCTCCCATAAACCATTTCTCTCTTTAGTTTTTCTTATAGTTACCACCAAATCTAATTTACAAACACCTTTGAAGTGTTTATAAATGTAAGACAATGCTCTGAGTATTTTATAAATGTTGATTTATTTAGTGGCCTCAGTAACCTAATGACCTTATAAAGTAGGTACTATTATTAGAGTCATTTTGGGTTGAAGAAATTGAAGCTGAAGGATAATTATTTTTTTCTATGGAAATTTTTTTTTTCTCCTAGCTCCAATCTAGACTGATTATCTAGACCTGCCAAGCAGCTCGCATCCTGGAAATTCTCTTCCCTGCTTTCCTGTGTTGAATCTACTCTATACAGAATCTGGTGTTATCCTCTTTCTTGATTTTTTAAAATTTCCTTTAACTCTGTTTTTTTTTTATATGATAGTGGTTTTATAGAAATAAAGTTGATAATACATAATGTTTCATATAATTACAGATAATTAGTTTATATTCATGTTGAGGATAAAGTGACATTTGTTCTCTCTTACACAAAAACAGTTTTTTTTTAACTTTTAAGTTCAGGGATACATGTGCAGATTTCTTACATAGGTAAACTTGTGTCAAGGGGATTGGTGTAAGGCTTATTTATTTAGTCCCCAGGTATTAAACCAAGTGCCCACTAGTTATTTTTCCTAATCCTCTCAAGAAAGGGTGCATAGTCTTATGGTCTGAATGTGCCTCCCCTAAAATTCATATGTTAAAATCCTAACCGAAAAGATGATGGTATGAAAAGTTGGGGCCTTTAGCAGG